AACGATGACTAAGTCAACTCATATACCATGTTACTTTAGAAGGATTGATGTGATACATCTGAAAGGGGCAAATGTAATGTGTTTGTGATTTGCAGAAATGTACAATGCCCACATTTTGTTCTGATGACTAGTTATCTAATATTATTGATGCAAAGAGAAAACATTGATATCATCATCTTTAAGATACACCCTTATTTTGAAATTCCCATGGCATGTCAGTGTCACCGTTTCTGTCAAAGCACACCTCCTTCCTAAACACTCAAACAGGGCTTGCAGCCTAGCACAAGGCAGATGATGGCAAGCAGCCAAGAAAAGACAATGAGGATATTCACTGATATGGTCTCATCTAGATCACAGGCCCCTGAACTGACTCAAATGAGAATTGTATCATGACAGACTTTGGGATATCAGCAAATATTGAATCACTGTCAAAATAATGGATATAATATGATATGATGAAACTTGTGATTTACACCCATATTAATGTCTCAGTTCACCAACAGGCCAGACTTGATTCATTTCATAAATGAGTTACTCTTCATGTGATACATGAGACACAGAAGATGGAAAGCAGTTATTTTCAGGACTGGACGCCTCCGCACAGACCACAGAAAACACATTTCACACTCCTCACAGGATGCAAACCACAGCCGGTCCTTCCATTCAGCAAAGCTAGTCCATAGACAGACTATATATATACACACACACAAACACACACACACACACATCCAGAATGACAAAAATGGCACTCCACCCACACCAAACACATCAATACATGCATCCATACTCTAAAAACTTACTCTAGTCACCTTATTTGAATCAACCTAACACCAAATATAAGCACACAACACCATTTTTTTTTATAAAATTTTGACTTGAACCTTAATAAATTCTTCAAGTGACATTTTTCCTGAGTTCTATATCTTCCTCTGTACACCACAGTCCACCTGTGAATCCAACACTTCAGTACGGCGCAAGAGATCTTAACAGCTATGGACCAGTGGCCATGAAACTTGCTATTCATGGTCCCCAGAGGAGGATCCCTAATTCCTCCACATTTTTTCACTTTCAACCATCTGGCCACGAATTCCTCTTAAACATAGCACATCTATACGCATAGATCATAGTCTTCAGTATGGTTCCTTTTCATTGCAGTGGCTCTCTGATCCTTCCTGAGGCAAACAGGAATAGCTCACAAAAATACATCACAGTTCGTGTCCTGTTTGAAACCAAAAAAAACGAAAGCATTTTCTTTTTTCAAAACCTCTTCTAAACCTATCTGCGTCTGTTTCACAACATTTATCTCATTTTACAATGTGTTTGAGCTTTACGTCACATTGAGACACTAAAGGGTGCCCTGTGCATTGTGAGGCTCATTTATCATCCCTTTATGTATGAAAATAGATATCCATTTCCATTTCAAACATTGTAAACATCCCTGCCCTCATACTTTCTTGTGTCTTTTATGTTGGTATAGATCCAGCCAATAGATGGAACAAGTGTCACACAACAACAAACAAGGAGACAGTAGAACAGGTCGTAATATTGTACCTTTAAACAAAGGCAGCATTGGTCTTGAAGCCATAACCTAAGATCCCAACATGTAGATGGGGAATTCTTTTCACTATACTACTGATTTGTTCCATTCTGCCATTATTTGAATTTCTTTATTGTCTGCTATGGTCATATCTCACTTGCCCTACACTGCCTCCATGATCTCTGGTGATACTACTCCATTTTGTCCACATCCGCAAGCTTCCAGGAAATGTGCACAAGACTATGGACAGAAGGCTCCATCTGTCTCCGTCTCTAACGCTGAACATAAATGAGCCCTAACACACCAGGCGTTGGTGGTATTTACCGACCTGGGAAGGAAAGGTTGGACCCTCTTTGCCAGGTGAATGTCTGTTGCAGGTTCTCTATGATGAATCTGTTGTCTCTGGGTACAGTCACACGAGTGAAATTAACAGCAGCAAATATTCGCCTCCCAATTACTTCCATTTAATGCAAGCAGTGGGGCGAATAAAACATTCCCTTCCAGTGGCAAAGTAAATTTGCATCTTCACATTGTGTGGAGTTCAACTTTGGTGAACTTTGACCAATGAAGTTGCAGCCTCAACCAATAGCAACAAAGTCAGGCTGTTCTCACATACTGTTGGTATGTTTTCCTATGAAAAGTAATGCATCCAAATTCATACATATCCCATGTATTTTGAAAGGCTGCAATCACATGACCAATGCGCTGACAGGAGTAAACAAAGAAGCAGTCCCAAGCAGTCTTGTGGGGAGGCAGGTTGGGGTGGTGAACCACAGTAACTTTTATTGCCTCAACCTAACCTCCATAACTTCATGTTCATTACACAACTGTACATTAACGTCATTCGTGGGGCGCTAATTCATAGGATATCACATGAACTGTTGTGCATGCATTTTTCGTACGCTCTCACAGGAACTGTTCTATGAGAATATGTTGAAAGTGTGTGGACGAGACATGGATTGTTGCCGTGAAAAACCAGCTGACACTGTATGATATTGGCCATGAAAAATACAAAGTGCCCCACATGACAGATGCTGCCTGGCTTGCAGTGAGTCAGGGAAAGGGCATGCAACAACAGAAAATGGAAAATGTACCCATCATATTTTGCGGTATTTATTAGCAGGCTAGCTTTCCGTGTCCGTCATGTCAGGCTCTGCATACATTCAGCACAATTATCACTTTGGAAGGCAAAGGTCACTCGACTGCATTTGCTTCTGACTGACCGTACCCTCAAGCTTAGGTAACCCTGATGACATGATGTGGGTTATTTTCTCAGACTTAACAAAGCTCCACAGAAGACATTTGCTGTTTTCACAGGATGGGCAGCGACCCTCAATCAGTACATTTACATGCACAGTTAAGTCGAGCTATGGTTATAGCTCGGCTAGGCCATTTAACTGGACTATTGTCCTTGTCCCAGTATACAAGCATGGGAGAAGAATCCATTTATTAACTGAAGTATGTCCAACTCTGCTACAATAGGTGGCGCTATGTCCCCTTTCAGCTTGTTACTACTGGACCTTTGTCCAGTTGACACAAACCAAACAATCGGTTAGTGAGCCGAAAATGGTACCATGGTGGAAAACTTTACAGCTCTGTACATTTCATACGTGGTGTTACATATTTAAATCTTTGAGCTGACACAGGATGAACCAATATGTCTCCTCATCCGTCCAAAAATGCATGGCTCTAGATGTAGATTTCGCGGTGTTGTTACCAGCTTCTTCTTCTTCTGTTACGCATTTACTGCTATACGACCTCCGGGTCAAAGCCCAGGCCAGAAACTGGAGCATGTGCAGAGCGCCTAGGCCAGTTTGGGTCCAACTGACTACAAACAAACAGGAGTAATTCAACTCCCGATTGCATTATCTGGGTGTGTTAGTCCGACTTTGAGAAATTCGACTTGGCGCAATTTCAGTCGGCCTAACATGCTTGTATATTAAAAGTCCGGTTTTAGTTGGACTATCACAATACATTAATTGTCTCTATTGTCATGTAAACATACTGAGTAAGAATTAAACTGACCTTAATGTGTAAAATCATTCAAGCGTCCCTTTAATAATTCTCTCTTTACAGTAAACGCTCTCTTTCTCTCTCTTTCTGTTATTACTCTGGGATAATGAGTAGGAAATATTAACAGCAAAGCAAGAGAGCTATATCCGTAGTCTTTGCTCACGATAACTGTCTGGAAGTGGTGGTAGTAAATATTTCATTGGCCTTGGTCACCTCTTATCTGCTCCATTCAGATGAACTGTGTGTAACTCTGATGTTGCTGTTTCCCATTAGCAGAGAAGATGGAAGAGGGAAGAGAGTGTCTTTGTAGGAAGGATAACAAAGAGCTAATCTGTTCTCAATAAGGGCATGTTTATAAGAAGTCATACAAACAGCCGAGTCACACTATATTATGAGAAGCATTGATTGAACGCATGGGTGTTAATTGAATATCAATATTTTTATGTAGGCTACAGTAAGAAGAAGACCTCGGTAATTCCTATTTTAGGCATTTAAGGTGGTGAATTGTCATTTAGGTGACGGTAGTGGCACAGTTCATTCTGACACATACAGTTATATGAGAGAAGACACGTCAGGATATAGTCCATACAGGAATTGCTTTATTCCGAGGTGGGTGTTTACTGAAGCGGCTGCTGAGCAGCTGAGGGCGGGAATAAGGGGGTGGGAGGCTGGCTCCTTTGTCCCTCTGCAGCCCCTTCCTCCCCCAGCGTGACAGGAGCGCCAGCCCCGGTTGTGGCATTTGTCTCCCATGCAAAACATGTGCCCCGCGTTTAGTCCCCCATCCATATGTATTATACTATTTATTATAGAAGTGGGATGTGGTTAGCTTTTTTTTTAAAAAAAAAAAAAAAAAAGACAAGCAGGCTACTGTAGAGACCGACAACTTCCTTGTAAATGTAACAGACGCGTGTGGTCTGTCACAATGATACCACAAACACGGCTGGTCGTTCACTGACACAAGGCAACATAACCACACTTAAAGTCAGCTACTATCAATATTCATTCTTTAAAATAGAGTGAACTGTTTTTTTAAAAAGTCGCTGGCAACAAACTTAACTAAACAGTCCACAAAGCACTTTGTTACGTAAGCGGAGAGAAAGACGTTTTTGAGGGAAACACATTTAAACAACACCTAGCTTAAACATGCCGCCGACCACAGCATCCCTGCTAACCTGCCTGAACACCACCACGGTGTCAAAACCACATCAGGTAGGACACACACACACACACACCTCAGGAATCAGGAGTAACACACATTGTGGTTAAATCAACCCCGGTGAACACAACAACAGTGAGACTACAACACAAACAAGTGAGGAAAGCCACTACGAGCAGACAGATTAGTAGAAGCAAATCCACGGCTGCCAAGGGGCTCCCGTAGTCTGCTTTATTCAAGCGTAGTAAAGCCCAATGGTTGCTTATTATCTGTGTAACGCTGGGACCGACTTACCCGTTTTTCCCTGCTCGTCTGCGTTCAATCCCTCAGAAATAAGAGTGAGTCCACATTGTTGTTGTAGTTGTTGTTTATTTCCGCAGTCCTCGGACAGACAGAAACCGCTGCTTTTAATGGACCGTAGGCATCAGTCGGTGTATGGTAGATGGGTCTCCTGTGTGTGTGTGTTAGGATGAAACGCCTTTTCTCCTCTAGGAGCTGCATTGTTGACATTGGCTTCCTGACGTCATGCTGGCCCTCATTCACAACAACGGCCAAGCCCCCCTGCTCTTACGATGATGGAGCCCCCTGCTCCGGCTTGACGATGCAGAGGATGCATGATTGGTGAACTGCGCTCTCACTACCATACAGACTAACTGCTTCCCTACCACACATTTTATTTCTCAAAAACATTAACAGACATCGCATTTTTACTGGGTAATTATTTATTACTGAACTGTACAATAGTCAAAGGAAGACTGCTTTGCAATGAAACGATTATTCGTTTGGTCTATAAAATATCAGAAAATAGCTAAAATGCCCCTTGCAATATTTTTCCTGAGCCCACGGTGATTCAAATTACATGTTTTGTGTAAACAGTCTAGATTCCAAAGAAGAAAGAAAAGCCAGAGAATGTTTGACATTTTTTTCTTGAAAACTGATTGCAATGATTAGTAGGGACTGTTCGTTACTTGTGAGGGGGGAAGGGGGTGGTGCAAAAAGGAGAGGCATGTCAAATATTTTTTTAAGCATATTTAAGCTTATGTTTTTTTTTTTTTTAATGGCTTAGAGGAGGAATATACATGGTTAAATGGTTGTATTTTGTATTTATTTTACTGCAAATAAATCAACAAAATTACACCATTTATCATAGCCAGAAACTGCAAAAACAGACATTTACACAGATTTTCACATTTCGTATCTTTCGGATTTCGGTTCTTTGACATGTCATGTGTTACAAATGCTTCCATCAGAAAAAAAACATAACCGAATCTACGCTTAAAATTGTAAATTGTGATATGTCATCAAAACCACTTTGTTCTGCAGCTCATGTAAAATTTGGCTAAAAAATAAACTGTTTGCAAACTAACCTGCATGCACAACAAGAGTGAAAAACTGAGGCTTTTTTCAACTTCAGGATTTCTTCTTCAGCTTTTGACTTTTAACTTTAAAACAGCAAAGTGTACGTTTTAAACATCTAATTAGTGGGTGCACGATATCGGATTTTTGCCGATATCCGATATGCTGATATATAACAACTTATTTGGCCGATAACCGATACTGATATCGATATATCCACTTTTTTTTCCCCACCTAATTTTAGTGATCATCAAGGCTCTATTGTAGTGGAATTAACATCATATGATGCATGTATACTCTTACTGTGAGCAGATGGAGAATACTTTTCAGTGTATGTAATATTCATTCATTATGCAGAATAAGAAAAAGCATGTTAGCCAATTCTAATAGTTAATTTTAAAGCCGATATCAGCCGATACCGATGACATGCTGATATTATTGTGCTTCCCTACAAATTATTGCCCTAATTTATGGTGGAGGGAGGGTCATGCATTTTCCTACAGTCATTCAAGGAAACTCAAGGAAAAATATTTGTAGCTTTACGGAAGGTCAAAAATGAATAAATAAAATAAAAAATGAAGTCACACCCCAGTCATCCCACTTCCTCTGAAAAGTAAAGAACAGTCCCTTAGCAGATCAAAATAGCTGTTGATTAATCTACTGTCCATTGACTAATCAGTTCATTAAAACTTTGTTTTGCTTAATTAAAGCAGTGAAATTAATCTTTTAAAGACCTTTGAAACACCTTCAAGGACAGCTAGCTAAAAACCCTCAACTAGAACCTAAAGGTCTCTTCAAGGTGGCCCACTATGCCTCAAAATCTCTGAAATCCTTCAAGGACGCCTTGGCCCATGATGTTAATAGTATTCCTGAAGGATTCAGAATAAATCATGGTTTTCTTCCTGTCCTATATTGTTGGGATGGAATAGGGGGTTGCACATGTTCATGGGAAAAGAGTGGCATGAAACTAAGGATGAATAGACCTTTTTATTATTTAGCTGTTTTTCATAACACCACATGCAAAATAAAAGTATCCACACCCTTTAAAATACAATTAGGGACACAGTGGATGCACCTTAAATAACATGACAATTAACCATTTTGTTAGCATGCAGGTTGCACATTAGCCACAATAGCTGTTCTTTATTTGATTTGTCTTATTTTGATTTGTTCATTGTGGATACATGACATACCAGTTTCCTTTGGCATAGCTGGCGCTCAACATTTGGGGCTCATCTTCACAAATGTTGATACAATTCCAGACACTTGACATTTTTGACATCTTGCTAGCATATCTGTAAGCCTGTCACATGTCCTAAATGTCCTTGTCTGAAAAGAACTAAAAATAATGAATGCTGACGCACAATATTGGATAACTATTCAGATTCTGATTTTGACATTGATTTCCATGGCAATGAAAGACGTTTTGATGGTTTGAAGCGTACAGATTAGCCCTATTTCTATGCTTGTATGCATGTATAAGGTATGCCTCAAGGATCACTTTAATAGAACTTAAAGGATAACTTCGGTATTTGTGTGCGTATGATTCATAGGTACAACTCGTTTTAAAATTGGTTCAGTATTGAGGGAGGCGGATGCAACCGGGAGCTGCGAAACGAGCTAAAACGGTAACGGGGGCAAATGCGTCCCATATAAGTTTGCGCATTAAAAGTGCTTTTTTTTCCGCCACTGACCGGTTCAGATCACCAGTGTTATCTCTGTAAATAGCATACTAAGCGTTTCCCTTACCTCTGGGCTGTGTGACATCATCTCGCAAGAGCTTTGCTCCACTGTGTCTGTAGCTCTCTCTACTCGTGGGACAGCCGTTTTCTTGAGGAAGAGGTGTTTCGGGATTGCTGGCAGTAGTCATCTTGGGAGAAGTGAGCACTGCAGACCCGATGGTCTGCAAGGTGCAGTGTCTGGAGAGGAGTGTTAGCATCCATTTATAGCACAACTAGCCACAACTTCAGCATCTCGCTGTCTGACAAAGGCAGCCTATGAATGCTGTACGGGGTGTTGTGCGACATCCTGTTCTTGCAATTCAGATAAGCACAAACACGAACCATTGTTTTCAATCGATGCAGTAAAACTCTCAGCTGCGCCACTCTGAGCGGCGCTCAGCATGGCTCCTCAGTTTTCTTCCAGCAACAAGCAAAGCTCTCGCGAGATGACGTCACACAGCCCAGAGGTAAGGGAAACGTTTAGTATGCTATTTACAGAGACAGCACTGGCTATCTGAACCGGTCAGTGGCGAAAAAAAGCACTTTTAATGCGCAAACTTTTACGGGACGCATTTGCCCCCGTTACCGTTTTAGCTCGTTTCGCAGCTGCCGGCTGCATCCGCCTCCCTCAATACTGAACCAGTTTTAAAACAAGTTGTACCTATGAATCATACGCACACATACACATGGGGAAATAGGGCCCAGGTTGAAAAATACCAAATTTTTCCTTTAAGTTGGATTTAAAGGATAAATTGTATTGCCTACCTGTTGTGTCCATGGATGTCAGTGGTTCCTGAAGCCAAAAAAGTTTGCCTTCCCAGGTGTAAAATTATCCTGCCCATAGAGCAGGTGCACAAGAGACTTCTGCTAGCCAAATGGCTAACTTCCAGTTTAGCGCTCCACTAACTTGAGTGGGGAAAGATGATTTAACTGTGCGGCTCTTGTAGAGTTTAGAAATGTTATTGGACCAAATGGATTAAACCTTGATAGTTAAACTACTTATTTTGCACAGGGTTGTCGCACTCAAAACAATTATATGCTGATTTACGGATGTCTCTTTCACAATGTAAGTCTATGGAAGAAAGTCTTCTGGGACCACATGGCATCATGTGACGGATATACATGAAGAGTTACAATTCCACATTTTGGCCACTATTTAAAACTGTTTACAAAGCGTGGTACACATCCTGAAGGACTGGTTGTGTCAGAGCGGATAAACAAGAAGAAACAAGAATAGACCTGCTATGACGAGTCAAAATGTCTGCTATGAAAAAGGTTCAAAAATCTGATTAATGTGGAAACAATAAAGAAGTACGTGTGCTCCGATGATAGCAAGGCTATCAGGTTGGAGGGATTTCTTTAGAATGCAAAACACCATGTTCAGTACAAGATGAAACAGGGAATAAAGGACAAACAGATGCTCATCAAGCACATATATCAGTCAGATCCAAAATATAAAGAGGCCCATCTTTCTCTTGAGTACACTGCCATATAGCAAGGAATCCTTGCGTTTGTAGTATTAAAAAAACGGCACTTTGGGTAAATTTTAGCCTGAATTTTCTCACGGCAGGGCTCTGAAGCTAATCATGTCTGTTGATTTTTATATTGCTTGATTCTCCCAAGCACCCAGCAACCATGCCGGGCTTTGAATATTGTGGCCAAAAAGTTAAATTACAACTTCTGGGTCTGTTACATGATGCCGTTGGGCCCACAAAGACTTTTCCCCATAAAACTCACATTGTGAAAGAGACGTCTGTTAATCAGTGGATATACTTTTTAGCGTCACAACCCCTCAATTCAATATCAGGATTTGATCAATTTGGTCTGGTAACATTTCAAAAGTCTAGAAGAGTCACTAGATTTAATAATTTAATTCCTATTCAAGTTAGCAGAGGGCTAAACCAGAAGTTAGCTGCTTGGCCTGCACAAGTCTCTTGTGCAGTTGCTCCACAGGTCCCACAATGCAAAAGATTAAGGTAATTTATACCCAGGAGGTAGAACTTTTTTAGCTTCTTGCGCCACAGAGCAACTCTCATAGGAATGAAGGGGCCCCGCTTCCAACGCTGTATCGACTTCTCTTTATAAATCCATGGGTCCACCACTTTGGTCCAGGCTGGAATACCTCTACAACTATTGGATGGATTGCCATTAAATATTGTCCAGTTCATAGTCCAGAGAGGATGAATCTAGGTGATCCTCTGACTTTTCATCTTGCTCCACCATCCAGGCTGTTCTTACAAATTTTTCATGTTTTCCTACGAAAACCAGTGCACCCCAATTCATACATATCCCACATATTTGAAAGGCTACGATCAGGTGACCAATGTGCTGACGGCAGTAAACAAGGAAGCAGTCCCCTGCTTGTTAGGAGGCAGGTTGGGGTGGTGGATGAGTCACAAAAAAACTGACTTTTGTCCGGGACTGTCCCCTGGAGTCGCACGTTCAGATCCATGTGAACTTTGAGTTAACTTTAACTTTGACTTTTCGCACATGCGCATTACGGTTCCAGTCACTGGGCATGCACGAGAAAGAC